GGCTGTGGGAAGCGGGTGGGGACGGGTGGGGACGGGTGGCGACCTCCCGCAGTCTACCCGGAGTCCTCTGGGGCGCTCACCGCAGCGCCGCGCCTCGTCTGAGGCCGGCGCCTCCCTGGCAACCGGCTCAGGGCCTGGCGATGGCTGCTGAGGGAGCCCGGAGCGGGCTGGGGGGGTGGATCCGCCCCCTTCTACCCGGGTTTGCTCAGCCCCTGTAGACCGGGGCTCCTCTGCCCCCCGCTGGCTCCTTCACGTGACCTCCGTTGACTTCACCGCAGAGGCCGGGGCGAAACAGACTTGGACTGCGAGGGAGTGGAAGAGAGCTCCACCCAGTGTGGACAGTGGGGGAAACTGAGGCCCGGAGAAGTGAAGAGACCCCCAGCTCGACCGCCTAGCTGGGCAAGACAAGAGTTTAAGCCTTTTACCTAGCTCAGGAACACATTTAAATAAATGTTATTCTATACTCACAACACATCGTGTTGCCTTAATTTTGGACACTTCGGGTTTTTATTTACACTTTCTGAGGACATAAATACATCCAGTTGCTTTACCCCAGAGGCTGTCTAGCTTATGAAAAACTTTGAGCTTGGAAACAGTTCTGTCTTTGAGGCGGCAAAAGGCGTAATGCACAAAAAATACGGACGGTCGGATCCGGGGTTCTCCCTGCTGTCAGGTAATTAGCCAAGTACACCTCTGCTCCTCCATCTGTATTATGCATGCCTATCTCACAGTGAGGTTTGAGGATCTAATGGGAATACGATTGTGAAAACATTGTGTAGACTGTAAAGTATGATATAAATATTAGATTGAAAAGCTGCCTCACATGATGGAAAATCCCGGAAAGCATACAAAACAGGTGAGGTACACGTCTGTAGGGCCAAATTTGCCCAGGTACTGAGATGGCTGGTTACAGAAAAGTCTTTGTCTTCAAATCACCCACAAGCTAAATATGACATTGGCGAAATGACTCAAATGCAGGCTTTGCATAATCAAACGATGAACAGTGAGTTCAAACTGCTCTCTGGCAGTGGTTTTCAAGTTGAAGTCAGATGCCCTTAGGGGTTTTTGGAGAAAGTGGTTTCTTGGGCAACATGATCCATTTTGATGGCATGCAGGAGGAGGTTCCTAAACTAAGGTTGACAAGGACGAGATCTCAGAGTTGGGATGCTCTCCTCTAGACCCTCTGACCTTTTCAATGTCTTAATCACAGCTTCAGTAAACTCTTTGTTAGTTTTGAGCATTCCCATGGTTCTGCACCCAGATGCAGTTCCAGGAAAAATTTTCAACTTAAAAGTTTAAGGAGGGATATATGGTGAGTGTGTGTAGTGTTAGCCTGTTTTTCCTGCCCAGTTCTTCTGCAGTGAGTTTACCGCTCGTAAGACACTTGGGGTATCCTGTGCCCGAGAAATGAACCTTGAGGCTCATTATTAGGTGTCAGATTTGGTGGGGGGGCAAATGTATCGGAAGGCTCCACTTCATGGAAAGTGATTACAGAGAGCTGGGAGCAGGTGGGAGAGACCACAGTCCTGTCTAGGGAGGCTAGCACAGACGATCTGACAAAAGTTTTTAGGGAAAAATGAACTTTTGGGGGTTGATTTTAGGTTCCTGGAGAAGATCAACAATTTAAAGCCCACCCACCCCTCGACAGAGGCACAGCTTTCTCTCATGGCAAGACTGGGAGGGTGGAGCTGGGCGGAGGGAATGAGAGAAGGCTCAGATGTTGAAATCACCCTAGGGATAGAAGTTGGAATTACTGAACTAAGCTATTCCAGAACCATCTATCGTTCTGAGGCTTCCTAAAACACTATTTACAGACATCACCAACTTTAACACTTAAGGAGTATCTTCTCTTGCTTAAAGATGTGTTTCTCTCCTGAGGAAAAAACTCACAAAAGTAGAAGTTACAATCTGGTAGGGAGAGTCTCTCCTGTCTGTTCTTTTTCTCTGTAGGTTTCTGTCCCACTCCTGTAGCCACACATGGCAGGAGAGCTAGCGAAACTTTTAAATTAAAAGTCAGAGAGGAGGTTCTTATCGGAAAATTCCTTCTTCGTTCAGTATTTCTCCCAAGTGCAATGTCCTTTAGTGTCATGGATACACTGCCTACGGGTCAGGCAGCAGGGCCCTCTAATTTCCTTACAAAGGGGGTGAAAGTGGTATCTTTTAATTTAATCCCCCCGACAATGTCTCTGCCTAATTGAAGGTGACCTTCAAGGGGATGAGTCCCCATATTCAGCTCCTATCCCGAGTAGCACTTTTCCCCTTGCATAGTTGGTAACAGATTTCGGAGAAGCCCCAGTTAACTAAGACCCAGATTCTCCCAAAGAAGACCTGTTTCCTGAGACTTCATTTACCTTGTCTTTGAACATTAATAATTTGGATTCACGGCACAGAGGACAGTTAAAAGGGAGCATTATTCGAATGGTTTCCTAGCACTCCAAAATATTTCCAAGGACCGGGACACCTGGGTGGCTCATTCGGTTAGGCATCTGGGATCGAGTCCCACATCGGGCTCCTTGCTCATCAGGGAGACTGCTTCTCCCTCTGCCTGCTGCTCGCCCTGCTTGTGCGCTCTCTCTCTCTCTGACAAATAAATACATAAAATCTTAAAAAAATATATATATTTCCAAGGGCCATAGGTTAAGAAGGTTAAGAAGGAAAGGAAAGAGATGTCTTTGCATAGCTCAGGGTCCCTGATCAGCAAGCTCAGGGGTTGAGGAAGTCCTAGCCCCTGGGGGTGGGCTGAGTGGACTGTCCCAGAGAGGAGCTCTGGGAACATGGAGTGGCACCAGGGATGTCGACCACAATTCAATGATGTCGCTTGTGAATGGCGTGTGTTCACAAAAGGCCTTTTAAAGATGAGGGCTGTGTAGGAGTGAAGAAACCTATAGGGCCTGTGATAATGAAAGCTTTTAGCGTCTGTCAAAGACTTAGCCGTTAGAGAGGAGGGGGAGATGGACCCAGGAGGAATAGCAGTTAGAGAGAGACAGAACGGATGGTCCTCCTCTCCTTGTAACAAACATGTATTCATCCAGGGAAACAAATCTTTATTTTTAGACAGACGACTAGCTTGAAATTGTCTCATTTCCCCCAGTTTATGACCTAGTTAGACTGAAACATAGGGGTTTGGGGAAAAGATGACTGGAGCCTTACCACTAACAACAAGTAACCATCAGAGTGAGAGCAAGAGCTCCTTATCAGTGATTCTCAAAGGCGCTGGTAATTTTGATGCTAAAGCTGCAAATAAATGGCTGGTATACGGTTACATCTCCTAAAAACAACTTAGATAAGAGGGTTTTTAAAAGACTTTTGTAAAAGGGAAGTAAAATTTAAGATTTAGCGGAGATGTCCTTAGTCTTAAGCACAGCAGGTGGTATTTTAAATAAAAATCTCTATACAAATTAAGATCATTTTTATTTAAATTACTTATACTTCTAATTTTAGTAAAGAGTTTATTTTGTAGGGCATAAACTAGAGCATAAACTAATGGCAGGACTCCCCCTCCCACCCCGCCTTGGTCTTTTTTTCTGGTGCCCTCATAAACCGCACACAGGATACCTGGGCAGAGCTAATGGAACCTAGGGTGTGGACCTTGGGATTTCGGTTCAAGTTCCAAAATGGCACATGACTTACACCCCCGTGTCCCTCCCATGCAGGCAGTGAGAAATGGATTTCCCGTTGGCTCCTTTTCTCCTGTTCTGAGAAGCCTCCTAAGGATGGCCTCATGTTTATTTTCTTTTTCCCCGGGTCCTCTCCACTCCGGAAGCTCAAAGGCAGCTTTGAGGCCCTATTACTTTAGAGCACTTGGTTCAATCAGCTTCATCAGAAACGGATTTGCTGTGGTATTCCAGCTCATCCTGTGAGAGTGTTTCCTGTTCCATGAAAGTTGAAGAGGTACTGGAAATGACCCCGGGCTTTCCAGACTGATAGCGAGCCTGAGAATCAGAAACCAGGCTCCCA